ATACGGATCGAAGCGGATATCCAATTTTTTAAAAATTAATATTTGTTATTTGTTCCGTTTTTTTATAAATATTATATTTTCCTATTTGTTTTGCTCCAAAATTTTACGGATATTCGGATGTTTCGAATCGAATCAAAACGAATACCGAATTGAAACGGATTTAACAAATATTTTGTCCAAGCCTATGTCATATGAGTCATTACCACGTAGGTTCTGATCTAATGGGAACACGTATTTTTTTGTTCCACATGATTGGAAAGATACGGAGATCTTTTAGTCTACTTTTAGTATGTTACTGTTTTCAATATCCAACGAATACAAAAATTATTTGAATGTGCTTATTAATGCATGGTTTGAAAATTCGAATATCCAACCCGTCAAAAAACCATTTCTTTCTTTATTTACTACTATCAACTTTATTATTTTTTATTTTTTCACGTCAAAAATATAATTGAACAGAAAAAGATTTGGTGTTGCATGATTGTTGCCGACATATCGGGGATTCAATATCCAACGAATACAAAAATTCAGTGTTTGTTGTTTTCTTATGCATGTTTTTGGTCCCACCAAAAGACTACCGTCACAAGCGGTCACACACAGTCCCCATAATTGTCCCACTGACTATTCCTTCCTCGAGTAATGTGAAACCCGAAGCTTCATCGGCGTCTAAATTATTTGCCAATTTCGGTTAAGTTCCTTTCTAATCTTTGTTCAAACCGGAATATAGTTATGATGTCATGATGTGATAACGAATCGAACTAGACCAATAAACCCTTTTCCGTGAGCTGTCCATTGCATAAAATAACACTTTATAAAAATATTCAAACAACCAATACTATTTGAGATATTTGTGATTGATTATTTATTTATATTGCTTTTTGAACTTTTTTTTTTTTTTTTTGATAAAGATTGCTTTTTGAACTGGTACACTCAATCGATCTTTAATCTATAAAAATGATATATGCACCTTTTAAAATATTTATTTTATAGTTTCAATGATTTATGTACAAAACATGGCCCATTTCACGTGTACAATATTATATATATATATTGTTTTTAGTATACATTATATAAAACTTTTATCTATACTTAGAATATTCCCTTACGTTAAACGTGTATCACTACGACCAACGTATTTTATACTTCTTTCCTTTCGTTTTAGTTGTGGTTTAAGGTTTTTTCACACAAATTAAGAAAATTATTAAATTTTTTGTTTTACCTTTTATTAATATATTTTATAAAAAAATTCATTGGCCAAAACATTAAAACAGTATGGATAAAACTAAAATTTTCATCAAACATTTGCATTGAAAAGCTAAAACGACAACTATTATGAAACAAAATTTATATCCTAAAACGACAACTAAACTGAAACGGAGGGAGTATGAATTTTGCATGCTCAAATTAAATTTTCTCTTTGTGCTTTTACTCAAATAAGAAAGAAAGTATATATATATATATATATCATCTTTTTGATTAATATTGCAAAAAGTATATATATATATATATTTTGGAATAGTAAAAATGTTGACGGAAAATAGAGAAATTTTCGAAAACATAATCTAAAAAATAGAATCAAAGCTTAAAAAAAAAAAGAGAAAACACACATGAATATATATAACCAACAAAAATGAAAAAAAGAGGATCTAAGATATAAGGCTCATTGCCCAAAAAAAAAAAAATACTCTCTCTGTTTCTAATAGTTTGATGTTTTAGAGTTTTCACGCATATTAATTATTCAATAATTGTTTAAGCAATTGAACATTAATTTTAATATTACATATTTTAAAATAATTATCAACCAATAGTAATTTAAGAAAGTTAATTATTTTCAATCATTACGCCTTAAAGTTTACGATTTATTATTATAAATCAATAACAATAAAGAAAAAAAGAACTAGAAAATCAATCTTTGTAGAATAAAAAACAAAATCTAGAACATCAATCTTCTAGGAACGGAAAGAGTATTATATATATATATATATACTCATAAACTCGAACTGTAAATCAGACTAAAAGAACTTATTTTGACTTTGTTTTCGAATTGTTCATTTGATAATCAGTTAAGTTTTTTATTTTAAAAGTTCCTTATATTTATTATTTCATTTGAAATTGATAAATGTTTTGAAATCTGTAATATTTATATTTTGGTTTGAAATCTTTATTTTTATGTTTTGAAATCTTTAATATAATATTTATCGAATAGATCAATCAATTATATAGTTATTTTGTTTAATTTGGCAAGGATTATAAGAATATCTAATTCATCATAACTCGTTTGATCATGCAAGAACAATGTTGTTAAACTAAACAGCCTAAACAACGTGATATTAACTTAGAAAACTATTACTTTAGATTAATTGGATCCTCCTACATTCCTACTACACCTTCTGGTCTTTTCAAGATGAATTTTTTGAATGCTTTACGCATATGAAGTTTTACAATGCCAAAGATATATCCCTTAATGATTAATTACTTTATTATTCGTTTATTCGTAAAACATAAGGAATAGTATGTAAACATCAAAATATAATATTGCTGCTAACAAGCTAAGCATGTTTTTGTAATCTAAAAGTACCCATTTGCTTGTTATTCCTAGCAATTTTTTCTTTAATATCTGAGTTAAGAATAATAAGAACAATCAGTGCAATGCCTTCTACTACTACTAGACTTTACTAAAAAGTTAGAGAGCATCATCATTGTCAAGTCATTTCTATCGATTTCATGCTTTTTTCTACCCATCTTATTTGGTCGGTAGTCAAAATTCGTAGCTCAAACAACCGAGAACATTAAAATCTTTTAATTTTTTTTTTTTATATAAATTCATTGTATCTGATATCTGACATAGATTGATACTCAAGTAAAAATTTGTTTTAAAAAAAACTTGGTTTAGCAAAATACGAAAGTAACACTAGCCATTCTTACCTCATTTCCATGGCATAACTTTTGTAGATGTCTTAACATAAATTTAATTATAAAATACTAATATAATATTATAGATGTCTTAAAAATAATAACAAACTCAATAAAAAATATCTTAATAAAGACACTTTAGACATAGTGTTTCACATTCTTCAAAAAAATTATCTTAATATTTCTTAATTATATATGTTAAAACACTTTCTTCAATATATCTAATGCAGATGGCCCTAATGTACGTGTGTGTAAACTAGCTAGTATACCACTTTAATAGTTACGGATTGTAAAATATAATTGATAACAGTTAGTGGTATAAAAGTGATATTTTCATATATTTTTTGTAACACTATTTTCTGGTGATTCAATTTCTAGTACCATTTTTTTTTTATTGTTATGATTGATAACCCACTAAAAAAAAAAAAAAAAGGCAAACCTTTTAGCACAACGCCAAGAAAGAACTCTAATTGGTGAGAAAGGTACCATGTCTGATCGTGAAACATTGTAACTTACAAAATTAATTTTAATCAAACTGACATCTGCATAAATAAAGTGAAATTTATAAATTTAAAATTAGGTTGGATATGACCTAATTTTTATTCGGTTAGAGAAATAATTGATAATATTTTAATCATACGTATATATAATACATCAACTATGCTCACGTACTATTCACTTCAATAACAATATTTGAATATTTTAGTTTAAATTGGTGTCGTTGACATGCGGGTAAATAGTTACCACGATAATCATATGCCAATTAAAAGTAGTAATATATTTCATAACAATTTTTAATAATTAATATCAATGATAACATTATATACTTATGATTGGATTCCCCAACTATAGAATTTGATTTTCTTTACTTGCTTGTCCAACTTTCTATTTTTCGTAACTCTCGCTTACCTAATTTTGTACCAATATATGATTTAAGTTAATAATTAACCCCAAAACAACTTTAAAAAATAACGAAATAACCATAACGGAACTGTTGACATCCTCTGTATACAGATAATGCTAAATATATATGTCACTTTCTCCTTTTATTTATCCTATGCAATATGCATAAAAATTAGTTAACTAATTTGACTTTCGCTATAATTGAAGAAAAGAAATACATAAGTGAAGAGTAAAAGATATTTGATTAGTATTCTCAAGAATTGTGATAGTTACTGAATTTTTTTGGATCTGTTTTATTTGACCCTTGATGTAACGATTGGGACATAGTCAGCCATCGCATAACCCATTTCATCATATACAGAATTTTATTAATTATTTTTTTCTGACAATAATCTTTTACTATCAAATAATTGTAAATATCAAATCTTAATACCATTTAAAACTATTTAAGCTCTCTTTTTTTTTTGTGGAAAATAACTCTTTAAGTTCTTTACCAAACAAAATTTTGTTATGGTCGATCGACAAGATATAATTGTAGTTGTCGTTGTTTCGTATAACCCCAAACAATATTGTTCTGAATCAACCAATTAATTTATTTTGAGACCATACATTTTAATACATACATAATCAACAAAATATCGTGGAGAAATGTAATAATTATGATTTTAATATCAACCACAAAAGACCAAACCCAAAGACGACAATGTCGTGCTACTTCTTTGTCATTTCTCCTGCCACAAGATAAAAAATAAACAGAGAGAAACAACGTACCAGAAAAAAGTTTTTAACTATTCTTAAAAATAATTTCAACTCCATTCCTTAATTTTTCCATTAAATGGATTCTGATATTTTTCTCTCGTCGCTCCATTAGCTAATTCTTCTTCTCCGGTGGATACTAAGTCAGCTTTTTCCGAGCTTACGTCATCTCTCCGGCGTTTCTCAGCTTTTATCCTTACCTGCCATTTCAAAGGTCTAAATCTTTCTCTCTCTTTATACATGTAAGAAAAATCTGATTGGTCAATAACAAATTGAGAAAACGAAGATCCAAATTATAGCTAAAGAGAAACCTTTCTTGGGTTCAACTTCTGAATCCTAATAAACTGTGGTTTTTAGTTTTTTTTTTTTTTATATAAAAAGTAAAAACTTTGAGTAAAATTGGTCCTCACTTTGTCACTTTTGAGTGAAATGAAATTTTTTGCTTCTTTGTCGCTCAACTTTAGAAATTTTATCTTATTTAATGGTTATAAAATCAGAAAAGCTTTTAACTTGTTTTTGAAGCAAATCTATGGGGATTAAGTGTGTTTGCTTCTTTTTGCCTTTTAGGTGTTCATATTTAAAAATAGTATTAAGCAACAACATGCTGAGAAAGTTCTCATTTTATTTTCTTGTTAGTTTTCCCGGAAAAAGCAAAAGAGTAGAATCTTGGAATCTTGCAACTTGTTTTTCATTTCCTTATTAAGAAATATCTCTAGATGTGTTTTCTTTAAACAGAAACTCTATTTCCCTTCAAGTCAAAATCATTTTTTCATATTTATATCGGGATCCCTATTTATATCAAAAGATAATCTCAGAAGCTTGTTTCAATGGAATTCCATGTCAGACTTATGAATATTCCACTAAAATGTTAAATTTTTATCTTTTGGGTAGTCTAGATTCTCAACACTATGACTCATCCAAGTTTTTTTTTTGGGGTAGTCTGATTTTTTTTTCCTACTTTTGACATTATATTATCTCCCTCTAGCACTATCCAAGTTTCTAAACAAATTTTGGTTTCCTGTTTTTTCAGGATCATCTTAAGGCTTAAGCTTAAGGAGGAAGTTTCTCGTTGTTGTTTGATAAATTGATCTTTGGGGTATTTAAAAGATGGGACATTTCTCATCGATGTTTAATGGATTAGCTCGATCATTTTCGATAAAGAAAGTGAAAAATAACAATGGAAACTGCGATGCAAAAGAAGCTGCTGATGAGATGGCGAACGAGGCGAAGAAGAAAGAACTGATTCTGAAATCCTCTGGTTATGTTAATGCACAAGGATCTAATAATTTAGCCTCTGTTTTCTCCAAACGCGGTGAAAAAGGCGTTAACCAAGACTGTGCACTCGTTTGGGAGGTACATTAATACTCTCTTAGGATACTATTTTCGTGCTTTGTTTTCTGCGTTTGCTTAATCATTTATGCGATTTACCGCGTTATGAGTATGTTAATAGCTTCTCGTTGCGTCTTACATTAGCTATTTTCACAATATTGTACTCTTATGAAAAAGTACTTGTTTTTGTAAAATCTCATTTATCTTTGGTAAACAGGGATTTGGGTGCCAAGAGGACATGATCTTCTGCGGGATATTCGATGGACACGGTCCATGGGGTCACTATGTAGCCAAACAAGTAAGAAACTCAATGCCTTCATCGCTTCTCTGCAACTGGCAAAAGATTCTTGCCCAGGCCACCCTAGAGCCCGAGCTTGACCTCGAAGGCTCTAATAAAAAACTCTCAAGATTCGACATATGGAAGCAATCCTATCTCAAAACATGTGCAACGGTTGATCAAGAGCTTGAACATCACCGCAAGATCGATTCTTACTACAGCGGCACAACAGCTCTAACCATTGTCAGACAGGTAAAACTTAAAATGAATATTAGTAAACTTTTTTGAGCATTTATATATATGTTCAGTAATTAATGGTTTCGTGGTGTATGTAGGGTGAAGTTATTTATGTCGCGAATGTAGGTGATTCAAGAGCGGTACTAGCCACGGTTTCGGATGAGGGAAGCTTGGTTGCGGTTCAGCTCACACTTGATTTCAAACCGAATCTACCACGTTAGTTTTCTTAATCCCTCTTAATATCCATAAGCTAGCATTTTTACCATACTAGATCTCGGAAGTTTTAAATTCCGTGGTCTTAGAAGTCAGAGTAGCAAACAAAATATGAATCTTATCCTAGTAAACTCTTGACTTTTAATTCTTGAATTTGGTTTGCTTTGAAAAAAAAAAACAGAGGAGAAGGAGCGGATAATTGGCTGCAAAGGGCGGGTTTTCTGTCTAGAAGATGAGCCGGGAGTCCACCGTGTGTGGCAACCGGACTCAGAAACACCGGGGCTCGCAATGTCAAGAGCGTTCGGAGACTACTGCATCAAAGAGTATGGATTGGTCTCAGTCCCTGAAGTCACTCAAAGACACATCTCTACTAAAGACCACTTCATAATCTTGGCTAGTGATGGGGTAAATACTTATAAACCTTTAACCAAACAAAATATAATCCATCCACACACTCTTAAAATATTCAAAAAGTTATAAAAGGTCAATTTGAAAAATCAAAGAAATAACCACATTTGAATTAAGACTTAATAATACCACAAGAAAAACAAATGGGAATATTTGATTTAGGAATTTTTAATCCCAATTTTGGTTCGCCTTGGTCTGAGGTTTTTGGTTTTATGAAAATTAGTCATCGGTATATAGATCTATTATGGATTAATTTGAGTGGTTTCGATTCGGCTTTGATGTTTAGTTAGATAGAGTTTTAAAGTTCAAATGTATATAAATTTGGTTTTTGTCTTTTTGGATATATATAAAATAAAACCATTTAATTATTATTTTTAATGAAAGAACCATTTAATTTTAAACCATAATAAAACTTATATAAAGTACTTTTTTGCTTTGGTTTGAATCGCTTGGTTTATCGGCAAAGTTATTAATGAATCTTTTAATTTATTTTTGGTTTAAATGTAAAAGATATGGGATGTGATCTCTAACCAAGAGGCTATAGAGATCGTCTCCTCGATGGCTGAGCGGCCTAAAGCGGCTAAGCGGTTAGTAGAGCAAGCGGTTCGGGCTTGGAAGAAAAAGAGACGAGGACTCTCCATGGACGATATGTCTGTGGTCTGCCTTTTCCTCCATTCTTCTTCATCGTCATCTCTATCACAACATCATCATGCCACGACTTTAAAGTAAAACTTTGCGTTGTAAATAGCGTTACAGTTGTGACATTTCATCTTGAAATCCGAAATGTGATTTTTTGGTCGCAGCCATCAATATGAGTTGATTTATCTTCTCAATGTCCCATTGTTTACATATGTTGAACGGAACAACTAAGTATATATATACCATAAGAAAAAAAAAATCATAAAACGGGAACATTCTAATGGACTAAAGTGGGTAGTTCTGTAATGTTGAGTGTCCTTCTGGCCCAATTTGATTTGGTTTCCATTGCTTGTAACTGAATTTGTGATGTAGTCATGTAGATGACGTTATTTTCACTACAGGAAATGAAGGTATTCATAGCGTCCGAAAACCTCTATATAAAGCTACTATAGCGTTATTAGAAACGCTGTATCTCCGCCCGTTATAATAGGTCTGATACTTTATATAGCGGTTGTTTCTTATGCTATGGTATATTTTTAATACATAGCGGTTTTGTAAACGCAATATTTAAGTTTACAATAGCGGTTGTTGTTTGCTATATATATAGTTAATTATTCTATTATGAATTACAATAGCAGTTAATATATGGTTATAGATAGCGTTTTCTTACGTATAGTTTTATATAGATAGCATTCGTATGAAAGTATTAAATACGTATAATTTTGTATAGATAGCGTTTTTGTAGAAGTAAAATACGTAAATTTTTATACGTATATTTGTAGAAGTATAATATACGTATAATTTCCGATACGTATATACAAGATTTTAAAAGGTATATACAGTATTTTGTACATATAAAATTATACATTTTATACAAATGATGCATTGTACAAAAGAGTATTTTTATACGTATTTTTGTACTCATTTTTTTACAAAAAAAAAATAAGAAAATACATAAAATTTGTTTATTTACAAAAAATAAAATAAGAAAATACATAAAATTTGTCTCTTTAGCCTCTACACCTTTCCACTTCCATTATAGTTTTCCTCCACTTCCATTGTAAACCGAAACATCGTAAACTCACAAAATGGTGAAACGACTTTGAGACTTTTTGTTTCCGGATCCATAGCAAAAACTCCATATCCCGACAATGCCAATCTTCTTGCAATTCCTCCAAAATCAAGCTAGTTAGCAATCAAACAAGCCTCATTTTAACATACAAACCATTTGCTATTTATGAAAAATAAACAAACATGCCTTCGAAGAAAAACGTGCAAGTATCTCCATAACCATGGCAGAAACAAACCAAAGCTCTAGGCCTAGAAGCTTCAGGAAGCCAGCTTTTGGAGAAGATCTCAACTCCTCTCGAATTCACCTCATAAGACTACATAAACCAGAGATCATCACAAACAAGACAGTTGCTTCAAGCTATAAACTAACTTTGATTAAGGAAAAATTGAATTAAAACCTAATCCTTGTCTTCTTTTACCTCCTTTGTCTTAATCCCAGTCTCTGGTGTCTGCAACATCACGAAAAACCAACACTTTTAATAAAAAAACCACACATCTCAAACAAAGCTGAAGCAGATTGGTCTAAAGTCTCAACCTTTCTAATACTCACTTCAATTGGAAAGGACAAACAAACAAAAAGACTTAACAATCTACCGATTCATTCAATTTCGGATGTTTAAAAATCAACAAATCTGGATTCCAAATAAGAATAAAGCTCAAACTAATCTGGATTCCAAATAAGAATCAAGCTCAAACTAATCTGGAGTTCAAATGAATGTCGTTCATTTGACTACTCAGGCTAATTAAAATCACCATTTTCATGTCTAAACAATAACAGTATTAATCAATTTAAGAATCGATAAAGCGAGATATGAGGAAAAAGGGAGAAGCATATAACTCTATCGAGAAGGTGATATCTGTTGATGTTTGTCTCAGGAAGAGAAGGTGAGAAAGCTAGGATTTTTACTGTCAAACAAATAAACAAGTGTTAGATTCAGTTGAACAAAACTCTTATAATGGTATCAAAAGAAACACATAAACAATTTGTTAGATTCGACAGACCATTCTTATTCTTCGTCTTCTGCTTTGGTTCTCTCATATTCGAGTCGGACATGGCAATGAATTTGAGGTTTGAAGAAGTAGGATGAGAGAATTTTTTTCTGAATCAGCGAAGAGAAGACCTAATCTGAATCAATTTTGTTGTGAATTTTGTTCTCAGTCGAGGAAAGGAAGAAAGGGTTGAAGAGAATCTCGCCCCAGAGCGATGAACGGATGAGATTAAAGGAAGAAAGGGTTGGGAGATGAACGAATGAGATTACCTTAAACATGCAGCCGCCAAAGCATTTGAAAGGCTGAGATGTCGCCACGTCATGTATCCGAGTGAAACATTATGATTGGATAGAGTAAATTGATCAGGTATTAGATCAGATGAATGGCTGAGATCTCGCCACATCAACAATCCGAGTGAAACATTATGATTGGCTTATTTTGTTTATAGGCATAAAAATGTGTTTTTACAATTTATATAATTTTAAAAAATTATATATTGATGAATTAATATGTTTATGAGTTATTTACATGATTAGATAATTTTTTCGCAATTTAAAAAAAATATTTTGCAATGTTTTTAGAAATTTGAAGGTAACACATATGATTCCCTTATAATACATGTACACTAACCTTCTTATTGTGTAAATCATATTGTTGAAATACATTAGTGATGTTATAATTAACAAAATGATTGAATTCATTTATGTTATAATAGTATACTTTATATCATTAATATTAGCTACTATTTAAAACCCTAAACCCTAAACCCTATACCCTAAACTATTTTAAAAAATGAATATTATTTATGTTATTATTTGTTATAATTAATATTATTACTATTTGAAACAAATATAATCCAAAAACCTAAACCATACATTTCATACCCTAAACCCTAAACCCTATACCCTAAATATTATAATTAAATATTTATGTCTTTTTGAGCTATTGGGTTATATTTGTTTTTTATTTACTTTTATTTTTTAACTTTTTTTTTATAAAATTCGAAAATCATTTAAAAAATCTTTAAAATCATTTCCAATTAAAATGTTTTAAATATGTGTTTTTGTTTTTAATATATGTTTGCCAAGAGATAACATATAACTAGTAACATGAGAAAACAAAGTCAAGTGCATGTAATAAAAGAAAACACAAAGTGTTTGACAGTTGAAACAACAAATTGTTGGACACTTAAAACAACAAATTGTTCGACACTTGAAACAACAAATTGTTCGACATAAAGGACAAAACACAAATTGTTCAGAGATAGACTATCTTGTCATTAGGCCAAGCAACGGTTGTGCCTTGTGCATCTGCTATGATTTGCACTTCTGAGGAAGGCCTCCACACTTTAGCATTATCAATCAATGAAACAACAACCCAGACCTTCGTAGCATTTGGTCCTAAGGGTCTGTTATGGACTTTGTCTGCAGGATCAGTTGAACACACTCGGCCCTCTGCAACAGTTTTTCCAGGATTTTTGCAATCCAAGAGGAAGCACTTCTTGTTTTTCCCATTGCTGGAACCAGAGTTTGAACTTCCATTCTACCACATCAATAACACAATCATAACACAGTCATCAGAAATTCATCATTAAAATGAAAAACAAATCATAGCAACATCAATACTTACCCCAGGCGAGTTTCTCACTGAAGGCACCTCTGCATTCTGACTGATGCGTTTCATCTTAGTAAGTGGCCATTGGATTTCTCTATTCATTGCATCAGCCATCACATGTAAATCAGATGTTGGTCTCCACAGATAAGCCATATCCCTCAGAACAAGATCAATCTTCACAATGCAAGCATTTATACCAATAGGAATGTTGTTTATCATTTGTTTCGGATCAGTGGAACACAAAACACCCTCATCAATACATTCACCATCATCAGAATTCCAATCAAAAAGTTTGCATCTTTCAAGTGACTCAGTTGATATGGTATCCTAATAGTGATTCAAATATATTAGTAACTAAAATTTTGATTCCTAGTTGTGATAAGTGTTAATCAATAAGACATTTAACACTAACTAAGGCATAGTTAAGGGTTAAATGTAGGTTACTTGGGTTACTCGGGTTACAGGTTACTTGGGTTACTCGGGTTACAGGTTACTTGGGTTACTCGGGTTACAGGTTACTTGGGTTACTCGGGTTACAAGGCTGAATGAGGGTGTTATTGGTCTTTGTGCACAATCAATCTCAGACCTAGATTATGTTCTCTATATAAACGTGTGTGCCTCCTCATTGTGTTTGACACATCTTTTTATCAATACATTTCTGCTTCTCTCCAATCTTAAATCATGGTTTCATCAATCTTTCCTACTTAAATATTAACAATAAGAAAGTAAATAAACTATGAAGATTACCTTGGAACCAGAAGTTATGTTTGTACTTGTTGAAATGTCTTCATCCAAAATCACCTTATCACCTTGCCAGGGAATTTTGAGTCCCACAGCTTCCCCAAGTGTGAAAATGTTTTGTGCAGGCCTCCACAATTGTGAGCCTGGGTGTATTACAGATTTCACAATAACAGCTGCAGCATTAGGACCAAGTGGAATGCGACCAATCTTGTATAGTGGATCAAAAGAGCAGAATTCTCCTTCACCGACAACGATATCTTCATCTGCAATCCAATCTAGCAGCTGACACCTAACTACTCCACTAACATGACTTACACCAGAATGACCTCCCACATTATCAGATTTTTTCTAACAATAAGATAAGGAAATGTTAGTTAAATGCGTTTCTTATAATAGCCTCATATATAGAAACTAGTATACTTACATTGTACCTCTCAAATGGATACATCCAACGAAAGTGTACCGGTCCACCTAAACGCGCCTCTCTTGCTAGATGTAGAGGAAGATGGAACATGATGTCAAATAGTGATGGTGGAAAGAAACGCTCCATTTGGCACATTGTCTCCACAATCTCAGTCTCCAATGATGTAAACATCTCTGTGTCTATTGTACGCTGGCATAATCGGTGGAAGAAGTTGCATACTCGAGTCACAGTTATCCTAGGCCCTTTTGGCAGCAAACCTCTCAAAGCCACAGGAAACAGATTTTGCATTAGCACATGATGATCATGCGATTTGAGATTACCAATACCAGGAGGGTTCACTGTCACACAATTTGCGATATTCGCACAATATCCATCAGGTCCTCTCAACTTAGATAACCTAAGGCAAAATCTTCTTTTCTCTTCCTTTGACATCCAATAAGCTGCAGGAGGCAAGTAAGTTTTCTTTCCCCTAGGTTCTGTATGCAAGTGCCTTCGTATTCCCATATCTTCCAAGTCTTTTCTTGACTTCAATCCATCTTTAGATTTAGAATTTTGCATCAGAGTGGACAACATAGCGTCAGACACATTCTTCTCCACATGCATGACATCAATGTTGTGACGAACCGGCAAATCCTAACACATAGTAAATAAGATTTTCAGCATTTACTCATAATTATATCTTAAACAAATCTAAACCACTACTAACCTTCCAGTAAGGTAAAGTGAATAATATGGACCTTTTCTTCCACCTCCATTGATCACTGTCTTCATCATACTCTTCCTCTTCAATAACCTCACCTCGGCACAAGGCAGACCTTTTCCGCTTACGCTTCTTATCCAAAGGTTTTCCAAAATTATTTCTGAAATCTTTTAGTATCTCAGCAATCTCTGCCCCAGTTTGAATTCTATTTGCTGTCCCATTCTCAACAGTGTTGTCGAACCATAATTTTTTGCGCCTATACGGATGTCCAGCCCTGAGTCGTTTCCTATTGCGCATATACACATATTTGCTACTAAACTTCAACCACCTACTTGGTGTGTCCTTCCCACAAACGTTACAGGCTTGTTTCCCCTTAACTTTACATCCAGACAATGTCCCCAATGCTGGATAGTCACTGATACTCCACAACAACATAGCCCTTAGTGTAAATTTCTCTTCCACAAATGAGTCATAAACCTCAATACCTTCATTCCATAAATCAATCAAATCATCTATCAGCGGTGCTAAATAAACATCGATGTTGTTGCTTGGTGCAGTTGGACCAGGGATCAACAAACTCAACATGATGTTCTCGGACTTCATACACATTGTTGGAGGCATGTTATAGTTCACTAATAAGACTGGCCATACACTATATTTGGTGTTCTGCATCAAAAAGGGGTTCACTCCATCTGTAGAAAGACCGAGTCGAAGGTTTCTTGGTTCTGCAGCAAACTCTGGCCACTTATTATTCACACGTGACCAGGTAATAGAGTCCACCGGATGTCGCATTACACCATCTTCACTACCATTGTTGGAATGCCAACGCAAATCCTCAGCCTTTCTTTTTGATCTAAACATCCTCTTCAATCTGTCTTTGATAGGAAAATACCGAAGGACCTTTGCAGGAATGCCTTTCTTTTCCTCACCACTGTGTTTATCCATTTCCCATCTTGATGCAGTACATCTAGGGCAGCTTTCCATCTGAGCATACTGTTTCCGATACAGTATACAGTCGTTCTTGCATGCGTGTATGACATCGTAACCAAACCCAAAAACCTTCAAGAACTTTTTCATCTCAGCAGTGGACTTTGGAAGCACATTATCTTCTGGCAACATGTCTTTAATTGTCGTCAATAGCTGATCAAAGAAGTTCTCTGACATCCCACTCTTCACTTTGATGTTGTAAAGAACCGTTATTGCAGAAACCTTGTTATACTTGTGACACGTTGAGTATAGTGCAGTTTCAGCATCCTCTAACTTTTCCCTAAACTCTGCTTCTTCTGTAGTATACGCCTCAGATGGATGTTCATCACCAACTTCAGACTCAAAATATGCTGTCCTTATCAAGTCATAAGCCTCTTCCTCTGAAGTTAGAACATCTGCAGATGTTCTCTCTCTCCTGTCCCCATGATTAAACCAACATGGATTCCTCTTCTACTTCAAATCCATACCTCTCATCACAAGATGATCCACTACAGTATCTAGTAGCTGATGGCAAACATTCCGACAATCGACACATGGACAGAGAATCTCTGCAGGATTACCCATAATACTTGATGCTCCATACACAAAATTCTTTGCTCCAGTCTCATACTCAAGGCTATTCCTAATATAATAATTTAAGAAAAAAATCAAAGTTCAGAATCACTTAAATGAAACAACCTATGATAATAACTGAGAGATGCATACCTTGGAAGCCAAGCCCATGCCTTGTTCATATTAGACCAATACGACCCAATCTCCACCACCAATTTATACATACATTATCATAATAACTTTAATGATCAGACACTCACATCAGACACAAAGTGTATAACAAACTGGTAAAGAAATAATATCTTACACAAGTCAAAGAACAAGGTAGGCACGGACAAGAAGTTTGAAGATTATGAATCAAGAATCTGCAAACAAAAAAACGACATGGATTATCAGAATCATTACAACAACACAACTCATCTTTACTGGAACAGCTACAAAGCTGTAAATACCTTGTAGTTCTTGTACTGAACAGCTACAGAGCCGCAACTACATATCCGCAAATCCAACTACAATTCACAATTACAAGTCAACAAAATATCATCAGCAACTGGTAATGACCAGAGAGCAGCAAAAAAAATCGAATTAACTTATAAAACTAGAGACACAATAATTGATTTTTATGTTCTTTACATGTATAAACTTTTATGAATCTATGCATCACACAAACAAGACAGTAAATAAGAACTTATATAAACCCGATTATCAACAACAATGAGACAAAACTGAGTCAATTCCATACAAAAGAATATACTCACAAAAGCTAGGAAACCAAATTAGCTTCAGACAGATCTAAATGCAGACAAAAATTAGGCAAGTTAAAACACAGATTGAAAGTCGAACACCAAACTCACATAAAAAGAAATCGATTCCAATCATACAAACATCAATCCAAAACCCAATTACTTCAGAAACAACTGAAACAGAGCAAACCCAACACAAAATAAAAACTAAATCGTTTACAAAAACGAAAACCCATACATATTTTTTACCTTATGTATCAAATTAGGCAATCGATATGAGAGGGAATAGACTGAGCGGGATCGATAGTGGAAGAATCAAGCTAATTGGGATCTATGGTGTTTCAGATTTTGACTTTCAGAGATGAGAGAGACGAGAGAGAGAGACGAGATCGAGAAGAAGAAAACGCTAATTTTTTAACTCATTTTCTTTTTTTATCTCATGTTTTTTTTTCTTTTTTTTTTTTTCTTTTTTTTGTTCCCATTTTGGAGCCAATGAAAAATTTTGTTCCCGGGTTAACCTTCAATAACGTTTTAAGTTTACCTATGCTATAATAGAACCAAGACTAAGTGTCACTCTGAAATAATTTTTCGCGCTCAACTTACAATAGCGTTTACCTTTTGGGAAACGCTATCTATAGTTTTTCTATACTCAATTATAGCATAAAAATAAAAAACGCTATAATGTTGTGCTATTAAAAGCCTTAATTCCTGTAGTGTTTGATCCAATATTTTCTAAACCAGCGAGTAACGTTATTGTTCGACATCAAAGGCAATAGTAATCTTGAGTGGATTTGTCCAAATATCTTCATACTTATAAATGGCTATTGTACTTTACTATTTTTAGATGCACAAAATAATTAGGGTAATGATGATACATAGCTTTTCGAATTTCGATTGTGTGAGGGATTCTTTGCCTCTTTACTTGTACAGTTGTACTCCTATAGAAACAACCATGGTTGTTGATTTTCAAGTTTCCTGGTTTTAATATAATGGCCATGAAAAATAAATGCCTAATAGATTATAATATAATGTAGAAATCTAGATTGCATGGTTACATTATCATATATTATAGTGTATCTACTGAGAGGTTATTCACTAAATGAGATGTTAAATATGGATTTGTACTCAAAACCAAAACGATTGTAACACCTAAACAGCTTAAAACCGTAAACATTGCTTCCGCAATATCTTGCATTTGCAGCAGTCACGTAATCCAATCAAACCCTAAAATTGCTTAATTTCAGAGGCTGCAATGCCAAAGGCTCAAATGTGATGGAAAACAAGCCGATTTAATCCAATTTATCTATTTAATTCAGTCAACCAATGGTACAAAACCCGCGCTGCGAGGACAAGAACCTAAAGCAATAGACGATGACTCTAACCGTAACACATAATATGGTGACAAGAAATGGCAAGTAGAGAACATATGCGCTAGATTCGATTGCAAATTGGAGCAGTAGAACAAAAATCAACATATATGTGCACATATATAATGTATGGTAATTATTTTGAAAATTTTATATGGACCATAATATTTGAGATGACACAGTAACATAGATTCATATTCTTTGTTTGGAAAGAAAATGAACTCATATTTGCATTTGATGTCATCATATGAACAAAATCTACATATTCGATGTAGTCCAAGACCAACAAAATGTGATCATCATCATCATAAGTTTCTCTATATAAAAATCCCCACCACTCTTCACCTTGTTCTAAATCAATCAATGTATATATCATACGAAAGGAACTACATCATCATATCCACGTACGTATATATCTCTCCACGTTTCATAATCTCCTTTATATTAGATCTTAATTATTCTAAAATCTATCGCTATTTAAGATTTTTTTGAAAAACATTTTTTAAATTTCTTCTTCATTTCTATGATGTATTAAAATCATTACGTGATTTTTTTTGTTTGCATCTTTAAAAAAGAAATTACAATTGGGTTGTATAAAACTCTAATTGTAATATGGTAAAAGGATATAAATGTATACATATATTTTACATGACGAATTCTTTTTTTCTCTTTAACATTGAAAGAAAATAACATGACTATTTTAACAAAAAGAAAATAACATGACTATTATTTAAAAGAGGATAAAAGGAATGGATCAAAAATGTTGGTCCATTGGTCCTCTACATTCTACAAGCCAAAGGTCAACGAAATGAAGTCAATGAAGTAGAAGAACGTGAGAAGCGAGAATCTCGCAACTTGTAGATCAAGGTAAGTCTTTCACCTTTGTCGTCATCTATTTTTCTAGGCTCACTTCGGGTAGATCTTATTCTGGTCAGGTATATCACAATTCACAACCAATAATACATTAAACTATTTCCTCCTTATATATATATATATATATATATATATATATATATATTTTAACATCTTTTCTATGGATTCATATATGATTTTTAAAATTTAAATACGAATTCCATGGACCAGCCTACGACATGTTACATATGGCTCCTTTTAGGCTGTCCATAGAGACTCAACTCGCAAACCATTTTAAAAGGTTTTCTAAAATAAAGTTTATATCACTCGTTCCTAAAAAAATTCCAAATATTCGTTCTTTAGACACATAATGATGAAAAAAAAAAAGAGACACATACATAATTAATTGTTGAACAAAAGAAAAAGAAAAATAAACACATACATGAAGTTGAGATAGTCAAATATTTTGTCAAGGATATTCTATCATATATTTTTAGTCCTTTTAGCAACCTGAAACCATATATCAGAAGTATTTTTGGAATTTCAAGATTTTTGGTGACAATGAAACATAGTAGTTGTCTATAATTTCTCTTACTTTTACCATATTAAAAACTTGTTAAATCAACCAAAATTAAAGTGTAATTGATTGAAACACAACTTTTACAACCTTTTAAGGTTGGAGTGGTTGAAACATTAACATGAACGTAAAATCATATATATTTCTTTGACCTGAGACTGAAATCCCATAAAAGACAGGAAAGTGTCAACTAATCGCATATTAATTTCCCAGACATCATCCGTTCAATCATTATTTAAATATTTTAGTGACAAACTAGTTATTGAAAAAGTCTCAACCAGTCACCTATTATGAGTGACATTATAAACCAAGATATTGAGCATCGAAGATTTCTGTTTAAGATTTCCAAAGTTTAAATGGCCGGCCTATATTACCTGTACAATCCTATAACTAGGTTTACTTGATCGTTCCAATTACACTAAAACCTTGTATCAAAACAAAAGTACAATTATTATATATATAAGACAATTATATAAAAGTTAAAGATATATATCAAACGTACGGACAATCTTATTCTTAAGATTAAGTGTGTATTGACAGGTGGTGGAACAAATATGAGTTTATAAATATTAATTAGACAAACTAAAACTCATATTTAGTTCTACCTCCTGTTGAAGCACACATTAATCTAAATAAGATTTCAATAGTCACATACATGAATGTAAAACAAGAAATATAAGTTACACGTATAAATAAAACTTTAAGGAGAAATGAAAACTTTTTAGTCATTAGCGCGCAACCTATGTGACCAATGCATACATGTCCAAAAATTTCCGCGACTATCCTCCATGATCGTGAGTTTTCTTCCCATTAATTCAATATATGGGTAGTTTATTTACTTCAATCAGAATTAGAAAAATATGAAAATACAGATTGCAGAATAAAAGACTTGGATTATTCAAAAAAGAATAAAAGACTTGGAAATATTTCCAGTCAAAGGAATTTAATTATGCTAACGTATTACGATGATCACGTATATATATATGTTGTGTATAGACGTTGTATCTCCGGGACGTAACGAACGTGAACTTGGATAGAGATTGAATCGCGCACGAGAGCACTTTCCTTAAAGAGTATTTCGACCCTTCTCAAGCCTTGGGTTACACGAAATCCCTTCTAGGATAAGACAATCAAAGTTCTCTCTTGTTCTAGGCTAAGACACAAGAGAAACAAATAGAGCTTTTTGTGTTTTGTTTTTGTGTTTTGCACTAAAGATTAAGACAATCTTTAGTCTCGTGAATCTCTCTTTTCTCCTCTTCTTCTCTTTCTTTGACACAAGAGAAACAAAGTTTATATATGGTTCAAAAGTTGTGACGTACGTTTGCAACCGTACGTTTAAATAATAACCATAAATTGAATAGTTGCAATGGTTAATTTAATAACCGTCGGTTTACACTTAAATTTATAACATTCCTCCCCCATTTAAGTGTAATCTTTGATTCACAAAATTAACAACACATAAACCAAACTCATGCATAAATGTAAATATCGTAACGATTGAATTTACATCTTAGTAATATTACACATTCCAAATGCTCGAGAATCAAGATGTCCTACGGATTGAATCCTTCAACTCATTTTGAGCACATGAAGATAATACACACACGAATTCACTCACTACTCTAAGTGTTTATCCTTGACACTATTATAAGCCATGTGTCCTTATCCTTTCATGAGTGTGTACAAAGCCAAGTCCGAGCTTCTTGAAGCGGCTACACTTCACACCCATATAGGTAGATCTTTTAATCTTGCACCTGCAAAATGCAATTTTTCAAAAAATCTATTAAGAAGAAAACTTCAACCTAACCTTTTCTTGCAGATCTAAGCACTTACTTTGGGATGATTTAAACTAGTGCTTCAATCTCTAAGTGTGGGCTTTCCGCATTGAATTCAGCCTCTAACGTTGTATTAGAGGGGAATTGGGTATCCCACCATTAGAGATTTCAAATGGACTTTAATCCCATCCCTTTAGCCGACTTGATCACCAAGTCTCTAGCT